AAATGGCTTTTTTAGTGTTTAATCAAAAGAACAAACATTTTTTGCCAACTACTGTGTTTTAGGATCAAAAAGGTATCTAAAGAAAGACCATTCAGCATTACTTACACGAGCACTAACAGACTGGCTTTTTTATCCAACATATTTTATTTCTCTGCATCCTCTCCTCACTGCAAAATGCTGGTCACGCCGTGGCCCAGCGAATTATTTCAAAAGCATTATGTTGGTCATTTACTCCCAAGACTTCCCTCTTTGAAGAATCTCTTGGGAATAGCTGCCAGACTGGAAGAGGAATACTTCATCTAAAGGAGTTTAATCAACATGAGAAGCGAGAGCAAATTGAATCAGGATGGGGTGCTTTTGTCTGGGTGCAAGATGCTAGAAAGTGACATTCATCCTTGCCTTAATCCAGATTAACTACCTTATGTGCTCAGGCTCTCATGGCAATAATACTGTCATAGAAGAGCACAGAGCCTTTTAACCTGTAACTGTTTCTTGCTATACAAGGATCACTGCATACATATTGAGGCCATTTAGTACTTGTGCTTCCAGGGTAGGAATGTGGCTACACATGCTTTTGAAAGAGCGCAGATTCCCTGTCAGCTCTTGTCTCTGGTCTAGTACTCATAAAAGTGCTCAGCTCTTTGCCCTGCTCCTGTTACAAGGCCTTTCCTATTCTCACCTGCTGTTCTGAGACAAACCCAGACATCTGGGGTTTGAGCAAAAAATCTGAGGTTGAGCAAAACCTGGAGGTTTCTTGAGGTTGTGTTTTCTTCTACACTGTCTGCATTCCAATAGAGAACACCTGCCCCTCCCCTATCAGGAGAATAAGACATTTTGAATAGAATAAACCTCATGAAATTCATACCCATATTTCATACATTGTTGCCTGCAACCCTGGCTCTGCCTTGATGGTGGGGATTCCTGTTATGCAGCATAATTATCTAAAGACAACATGACTGGAGGTGTGCATAGGCTGGTACAGGTATGAAGCTTCCAGTGCCAGTGTGGCCACAGTGCAATGTATGGTAAAAGCTTCTGGACAGAACAGACAACATAAGATGACATACATTATTGCATCTTATATCAGCATCCAGGAGCCTAGCCTGCAATGCAGGGTGAGGTCATGGGAGCAGGACATATGGGCAGAATCAAATAAAGGAAGATGTTCTTAAATTCTAGCGCATATAAAGAGTATGAGTTGTATTCAGTGACTGCATGAGCATGAATCTCAACACGGCTTTCCTGCTGTGTGTTTGAGGAAAGTAAGAGACTAACCAGGCTTAGCAATTGGTGAGCCAGGCTGTAACTCATCAGGCCAAGAACAGGGCCCATATATTGCTTCTAGTTCTGTCACTTCATATCTGGATTAAATCTTCTGCCTGCAGAGCTTCAGCGCAAGGCCTGAGTCCTGGCCCAAAGCAAATCCATGGGGCATGATTCGATGATCATTCAGGGTTGAAAGACACCTGTAAGCCACAAGATACTGCACATTGGCTGACTCTTCTTAAGGGACAGTGCCATCTCTTGTGATGGCAAGACATGCCCATTGTGATGTTAAAGGTTCTGGGAGAAAAGCCTTCTTGCTACAGTTAAGCTGACGAGTTTTTGTCATGTATTTACAGAGGGTTAAGATTGACACTCAGGCAGTGGCTGTAGCTCTGTTAACCTGAGGCAAGTTGCTAGGCCACAGTAATTTATTCATGCACCTAAGCCCTAAGAGTACATTTACTCTGTGTTGGCAGTGGGAAGCAGCCTTTACAGTGGCTGCAGGTTCCATTTATACCCCAAATCATGCTCTGGTTCAGGGACAGAAAGCAGAAAATTTTGAGACAGATTTGTGCTCACTGCTACCTGGAGGCACACCCTTACCACATCAGCATCTGCAGAGTTGGGAAATGGCTGTAAAACTCTTCAGCAAGGCCATCACTTCAGATTAGCACTGATCTAAAAATAATGGCAGAACCAAGATCTTTGCCCATTGTGACTTCGGGACATGAAAAGTGGGATCAAGGAAAGAGGAATCGACCTTGTGTCCATCCTTACTGTCAAAATAGGTTCCACCTACTGGAGTTGGGCAAGGAGAGTGTGAAAAACTTGAAATATACTTCCGCAGGCTGCTTTCCTGTCTTAGTGGGGACTGTGTCTGTCCTCAGACACTGCTAGGTTGGACCCTTTCCTGATTCATTGGTAAAAAAAAAAAGTATGTGTTCTCTCCCACATGCTTACATTCATTTTTGGCAATGCAGGGCCTTGCCCACAATGCAGCATGCACTTCTGCTTGATGTGAGGAACGCAGCGCTTACCCGGGCTGGTTTGTCACGGTGGGTGTTGACAGATGAGCTGTGGTGGATCTCACGCTTGGCTGATTTCTCTGCCCATCTCCTGAAAATTCTCACCCTCTCCGTGCCAAGTGTCCTCTCCCCCACAGGGAAAATATGCCAGCAGCTTTGGTGAGGACAAGAGCAGCTTAGCTCAACCTCTATCTGGCAGTTTTCCTAGGAGAAGCTGAAGGGTTGGTTTTCTGTTCGTTTATTTATTTATTTATTATTTATTATTATTATTATTATTATTTTATTGTATTTTATTTTATATTTTATTTATTTATTTATTTATTTATTTATTTATTTATTCTCTATGTTAAGTTCATGTGGAGACAAATTCTTGATATTAAAGCTTGTGAAAGCTGCTTTCTCAGTGCTCAGGCAGTTCATATGGTGGCAGTATTTTTGCACTGTTAAAAACATTGATGCCAGGATGAGAGAGTGCCCATCATATGGCTCCATACCTTTTTCAGGAGCACAGACCTAGTGCTCACATGACACAAGCCACCTGCACCAGACACAGTGCCAGGTAGCAGGGTGGCACCAGTGGCTAATAGTAATGCCAGGGATAAAGTTGCCAGAAATCTGAAGATGCTTACAGGAGGACTTGTCTGACAGGAACAGGAGAAGCCGAAGACCTGAATGAGCAGGAGGAGAATGCTCCCACGGGTCTCTGTCAGAGGACATGGCCATTAGTGACAGCATTTCAGCATCTGCCCACACTGACTTTGCTGGAGAAGCAAGAGGGAGCTGAAGGCCACGCAAAGCCCACAGTTAGACTGGAAATGCCTGATGGTGATTGCTGGAAGGGGTATCCCAGATGAACTGGGCTCAGGTAGGACAAAAGCATGCTAGAAGAAGCCACTGAAGCAAGAAGCTGGCCTGCTGATAATTCCTGAGCTGGAGATCTCTTCTTGGGCAGGGTGCCAAATGCACAACATTGGCAGCCTGTTAGAAAGTCTAGGAAGTGATGGAAGATGCTGGAACGGAGAAATCCCAAACACACAAGTGCTGCATCAAGTTTTGGTGCTGTGGGTGCTGTGTTTGTGGTGGGGAGGGGCAGTAGGCCCTACTTGAGGCTGCTAGGGGTTATTCTGCATAGTCTTGTTGAAAGGTCTCCAATCAGGGGTCACTCTAAGTACTTAAACTCCTGAGGGAGGATGTCTGCTAGGGATGCAAATGAAAAATGCATGTGGAGGTTACGTAGCATGAGCCAGATGGGGAAACTGCACTGCACAGCTTTGCAAACAGAGACTTCACAGGAGAACTGTGGGGCTGTAAGAGTCTGCAAGCTCTCACTTTGAGCTGAGGAGCAGAGCTCCCCAAATGTATTGAAGGTATAGACATTTATCCCCTTACTGACTCATCTGAGACCAGGATGTTTAAAATAAACTCACAAATCAAGCTTCCAAAAATCCGTATTTAGACACCCAAGTAAAGAATAGCTTTTAAGGAGGCCTCTTGGTTGGCATACATTTTTTTTTTCTGCAAATCAAGCCACTTGTTTAAGTAATTAACGGTGGCTTTAGCAGCCAATCTTCAAGAAACACTGAGGATAATCCCTGCCAGAAAGA